GGAGAAGAGAGAAAAGAGAGAGAAGAGAGAGGAGAGGAGAGAGAGAGGAGAGAGGAGAGGGGAGAGAGAGGAGAGAGGAGAGAGAGAGAGGAGAGAGAGAGAGAGGAGAGAGAGAGAGGAGAGAGAGAGAGAGAGGAGAGAGGAGAGAGAGGAGAGAGAGAGGAGAGAGAAAGGAGAGAGAAAGGAAAGAGAGAGGAGAGAGAGGAGAGAGAGGAGAGAGGAGAGAGAGAGGAGAGGAGAGGAGAGAGAGGAGAGAAAGGAGAGAGAAAGGAAAGAGAGAGGAGAGAAAGGAGAGAGGAGAGAGGAGAGAGAGGAGAGGGAGGAGAGGGAGGAGAGGGAGAGAGAGAGGAGAATAAATTGAGGAGAGAAAATTGAAGATAATTAAGTACATAAAAAATATTTTGTGAAAGTAGCAAGATATGTAAAATATATAATGTACTAAATATGCAAAAATATGTAACAAAAAAAATTGGATATTGTGTTAGGAAGGTGATGATTTGCCAAGATCACAATTTTGAAAACAGTAAGACGAAAGACAAAAAATAAGTCAATACATAAAAATTTGGTCTCTAATAATGATAATTTAGCCTGTGTCACATAAGTGATGTGTGCTATTGAGTGTCAACACATTCATGACACAGGCTAAAGAACTGACCACATTAAGTGTGAATATCAATGCTTTTTCCCCAGGCATGCCTATGCCTGGCCCCCATGTCTGCTAAGTAACAAGTAAAGAACTTCAGCTTCTGGTCAGTGAACGGTAAAACAAAGAATGTACTTCAGCTTTCGGTCTCAATCAGGTTTTTGTCCATTTTCATAATCCACTGAGCAAATGCTGAGAAGGCCCCTGTTTTGCTTCAGGACATAAATATAGCTTCACCTTTTGCTAATAGTGGTAGGAGTAGTGCTGGGAGTGTGCTACTATTTTGTTGTCAATAAAAAGAACCAAACAACAACTGCAGTTTGTTTACCAATGCAAATAAGTTTTCTATAACTTGAGAGAAAAAATGTCTGGTTTTCAAAACTTGCTAACTTTGTTTTTCTTGGAACTTTTAATCATCATTCAACTAATTAAAATGTAGGAATGAGATTCTGGAGCACACGAAAACCTATGCAGGGGGAATTTCTCTCCCATACATCTCGTACATTTTTTACCGATCTGACTAAATAGATGTAAACTAATGATGGTCCAAGAGTGGAGTGCACCAAAGTAAAAATATTGCATTTTTGTTTTACTCATAACATTCAAGTTCAGTTAAGCATTTTTCTCACCTACACAGTTTTCCCTTCAGTCTCATGAAAAACGTATAAGTGAAGTTTTACTGTTTTCAGTTTAAATGAATACTGTTAAAAATGATGAATAAAAATGAACAATAAAAAATTGTTTCCTAATAGCTTCTTGGGATGTAGATAAAGAGAAAATAAACAAACAAAAAGTTGAACAAAATTTCAATCTGCACAAAGAAAATCTTTTAAAAAAAATAAATATTACGGTTCTCAAAATGTTCCATAATGTGCAAAAAAACTCAAGCACGAAGGAATATTAAAAAGAAAATTCGCACATCAATTAGCATTTAAAATGTTTTTTAAAATTACCAAATAAAAGACAGATTGAGTCACTGCATCCTGCAAACATGTCTTCCGTGATGTTTCTAATCCAGGTTCAGTCTTCACAATAGGATTTTCTGTATCAGGCTCAGTCTTAATAGTCACATTGGCAGAGTTCACATTAGTTACAGGTGAATGACTAGCAACATTTCGAGGTTTCTGTACCAATGCCGTTAACATAGGCTGAGTCAAAGCAGCACTAGTTTTTGTAGTTGATGAGGTAACTGTAGTTGTAATGGTTGTAGTGCTTGCTACTATATTGTTGTTCAGAAGGTTAGAAGTAGATACTGAAGCTCCTGTTGTATTAACATTTAAAGGTGGAACTCTCACAACAGGCCGAGCTAAACCAGGAGAAGACACCATTCGACTTCCACTTGATATAGAAGTAGTTGCCACATTTCCTACAGATTTTGGAACCACTGTTAAACGCTGTCCACTTGCAGTCAATACTGAAACAAGATAAAAACAAATATTAAATGCACATACATAATTTTTTCCTTCCAAATACTCATACTATGATTTGTAAATTGTAAATTGTATTTTGAAGTTTTGGTAATAGATCAAATACACTTTATTTAATTTTTATTGAAGTAAACAATCACAAGAATAACATGAGAATAACTTGAATTTCTACCTAAGGCCTCTTCTTCATTAAGAATTATTTTTTAGATTAATGAGATAACTGTACAATAATTTTCATTAGGGCCCGGATGTTTATGACATGTTATATGTTTTTTGTTTGTGTTATTTCCGTGCAAAATATAAATTAGGTACAACTTTATGTACAATAACTAGAACTATGTAATTTTCATGTGCCATATAGAGTCATATTTTGGTGGGTTTTTTTTTTTGTTCTTTTTTTTTTTAACCCTTTTGTCATATTCCATTAATATTTCTTGTTACATTTCCATGAATTTCATTATTTTGCCATATTTTTATCTTTTTGATTCCATTTTTGCATGCTTGCTTGCAGTTGTTTGAAGGAGATACTTCATATTTAATTTTAATCCGTAATATCTTACAATTGTTGTCTGACTTTTCTATAAATATATATTTATGTGAATTAGGAGAGTAAGCTATATAGAAAGAGAGAGCTGTGTAGATAGCACTTGTAGATAGCACTTGTAGAGGAAGGACGAGTTTAGTTTTGTCAGGTTTTGTGCTAATGTCAATCGCTTGTATAAAACTTTAGCACGTACAATTTTTTCTTCATGGGGCACTAAAAAGAAGGGGTGATAAAAGGTACGGAGATCTCAGCTACTGGACAGAATTCACTGTGTTTGTGTTTAATTGTGAATACTCTCAGTTCATTTTACCTAAATTTAACCGTTCAATAAAAGAAAAACTGTAAGTATTAGTGCAAGAGTTTGGAGAAAATAATTTCAGAGCAGATAGCATTGTTAAGTTCAAAAAACTTCACTTTTATAAACTGGGCAGCTCCTGTTCCAGAGAATTTCATCACTGTCTATGACACACAGAACTTCAGATTTTAATAAGGATTTATGTACGATGATGTCTGCTGTTGTACCTCTGGAGAAAGTTAAAAATCAATACCTCAGCAATTTAAAAATAAAAAATGTGTGTGCGCCCCCCCCCCCCCACACACACACACACAAGTACGTTTCAAATGCCAAACCACTTTGCAAAAGAACTACGGAACTACTTAGTTCAAAGATGTTTTGAAATAGACTACAATCCTGCATCGCTGACAAGGTCTGAGTTTCTATGGATGAAATCACTGATGCTGAAGGGAGCTACATGGCATCATGTTTTACGGTGACCAAGCAGGAGATAAATTTCTTTGAAGCATTGGACAGAACTAACCAATCAATGGTGGTTGTTACTTTTGATAATGCAACAAATCAGTTGTGGTGTGTAGAGAGAATGTTCTATTTCTAGTTACTCATGCAGTCCCTTACATGGTGAAAGCTGACAAAAGTCTGCAGCTACTCTGCCCTAAAATGATACATGTAACTTGCATTGCACATGTACTTGATTGGCAAAAGAAATTCATAAAAGTTTTCCTGATGTAGATTAGTTAATCTCTGTAAAGAAAAGCTCCATTTCGAGGGGAAAAATTCAAGCAATTGGCAGCTTTGGTTGTACTGCCTCCCCAACCCATCCTCATATGGGCACGTGGTTTAATGTCGCAAATTATTACTGTATAAATTACCAAGATATCGAAGATGCCTCCACAAACTACTACTGTACCAATTACAAAGCTGTCGAAGATGCCATTAATGCATTCAATGAAGGTGAAGCTGCCTCCATCAAAAATGCTAAGTCACTATTTTCAAGTAAAACACTAGCTGGCGGTATTGCTTACATCTATTAGTGTATTTTCAACAAAAATTATACAATTAGAAGAATTGGGTGATTAAAACTCTGATGCCCTGCAAATAGAGAAAAAAGTTGAATGTGAGTTAAAAGATGTGTGAGGGGAAGTTGGTGAACGTGTAAATACAGAACAACAATGTGAGCTGGGTTGGAATTAAGGATACTCTAATCTCTCCAAGATTAGTGCAATTATGAGTGGCTAGTCAGCAACATTTCACAAAGAGAAGTCTCAATTAAACTCTAATGATTAGACTAATTTCAAATATGTCCCCATAACATCCTGTGACGGTGGGGGATCATTTTCGCATTAGAAGGCAATGTTGCGTGAAAACAAAAGATCGTTCCTATGTCAAAACTTCAAACTGAATGTCATTATCTATTGTAATTCTTTCTGATTGCCTATAAAAATGTGACATTATTTCATTCTTTGCAGAGTTGAGCGGTACCTCTGAATTGAGTAATTCAATTCAAAATATAATAATAAAAGTTAATATTATGAACTTATTTATTATTACTGAATGTGCTATACTTTAAAAAATATTTTCAATAATTTAAACAGCGCCAAGATGTTGAAGGTTTTAAAAATGCAATTAAAATATCTTAAAAAGTTCAAACATCTGGGTCCCAATCATCACATTGCTATTTTGATAACACAAATTAGTGATGTTACAACAGCACAACCCCTTCTCATATTACTTGTGGCACTTTCATAATATTATGCGACTTTTATCCTGTTAACACTTCAGCCATCACTTTAAAACTCATAGCTTAAAGTCTCATATGAGGTTAAGTTATGTAATGCTGTTGGGAAAAATGCCAATAGAAAAATAGACAACAGAAGCTCCTGACACCGACAGATTTTTTCTTGACCACATATGCAATAAGTTATTTTCTAGTACAAGTAGGGCAAGTCAGAATCCATTAAAGGATGTGGAGGGGTGGATTGGCTGGTCTGTCAGCAACACCTGCACCTGAACAGGATTTTTCCCAATACAGATATACCCTTATCTAACATGGTGATGTCATGGCTACTTGAATTTATTTTTTCAATTCAGATATAATACATAGTTTTGCAAGTAATATCTACAGGTACATAACTTACTGTTATTACTTACACAAATGAGACATAACTTTTATATTGACAGCACTGCTTGTATTACACACTGCCCTTTAATCCAAAAGAACAAGAATGAGATTTTGGTACCTGTTGTAGTAGTTGGTATGTTCTGGGAACTTCCTGCCTGCACCATTTGTTGAGATGTAAATAGTATGTGATGACGTCCTGTTGAAGTCTGCACCAGTTGAGCAAAACCAGCTGGCAAGGTTATTCGCTGCATGCCATCTTGCTTTGGAACACCTTGAAGTTGTTGTGTTTGTTGAACAGTAGTACCAGATACTTGCTGGGTAGGGCCCAATGTGGCAACAGGAATGGCTTTAACATAATGACATAACAAATAAAAAATTCTTATCTAGAGAAAAGTAAGGTCTGCCAAAAACAAGCATCTACCTCCCAATTTTATGGATTTTATGCAAATTACAAACAAATGAGACAGCTTGAACCCACCAAATATCTCTTAAAATTATTTTATTATCAATGTTGAGTTGAAAAAATACAATAATATGTACAATAAAAAAGTAACGTTTTCCATTTAATGTTTAATTTTGTATCTTCTATTTAACTCTGAAGTGTTTACACTCAAACTGTACGTAAACAAGTAATGCAAATAATTCATTAATGAAATCATTTTCTTGATTTTTCTATGAGTAAAAGATCACATTCTACACAAGTTACAATACATCATGATCCACATGACCCAAGAGTTAATTTTAACTGCTAGTGAGGACAAAAATATTTCTTTAAGGAAATTGCACTAACAACATCTTTTAATTTTTGAAATTTGAAAATTGGTAGCTGAATTGAAAGTTGAAACCTTTAACCCTAAACCTTTATCTTAACCTTAAATTTCATTACAGTCTATGCATTAATCAACAGACAATAATACTGAGAAATCAATGATTCATACAGCACAGCATACAGAAATGTAATAGAACTGTAGAAGAAAGATTCTGAAAATAAAGACACAATAATCCCTATCAACTTCTTATATTTAAATAAAACACATTCAATGTTGTAACATGAATATCTGCACTTAATAAACTTACACAAAACATTTAATCTCTTAAATTGTAATAAACCTGTAATAATATTAATTACAAGGCAGTGTTTGGCGGCCACAGCTTGTTAAAAACATAACAATATCTGTTAAAAATTTTATTCAGTTTTCTATGGCAATTAATCTTGAAGAATGTTTATGTAGAGCATTTAGTTTCAAATATTATTGAATTCTTAAAGATTTTTGAAATGAGAATAAGTCATAAAGAGAATAAATTATTCCTATACATCATTTTTACTAAGGAATTGTTTTTAGAAAACATACTATTTTTAACCATCATTTACGTTTCTTTCACAATTTGAATTAAAAATGAAAAAATTAAAAATTAAGGACCCATCCAATATGATTAAAGGTAATAATCAGATTTATGTTTTACTTGTTCTACCACTTTGAAACATTCAATGTTTAACACTCAACTTATCCCTAACTGTCCTCGGTGAATTGCTAAGGAGACACGAATTGATCTCAATGAGACAAAGCATTCAGTGCTTTCAATGCACTCTAGGGTGAAGTCAATTTTAGAGCATGTAACATGCATTGCTATATTGAATGGTTAACTGCATCGAAAGCCTACTGAAAAATATAAGTATAATGGAAATGTTTAATTAATGTTTCTGCCATGTGTCCCAAATAGTAGAATTAATCTAAGTATGTATTTTAAAAATACTTTTTTAACCTTTTACCATAATCAAGGTGTACTTTTACGAATACATTGTTTTAGAAATATGACTCTTGATGGTGATGATCTTCCTCGGGATTAAAACATCATGAATTTTCGAATTTTTAGAAAATCTAGACATAATATAATGCAGTACAAAAACTTGATAAGTAGCCGAGTTGTTGACACCTGGAACCTACTATCCTAGAACTTGGTAAAGGCACCTTGTCTTTGAATGTTCAAAAGAGCTTATGATGGTCTTTTCAAAGTGGAAGGTCATGGACTTCATTGATATGCAGCTTTGTTCCTCCTTTTCCACAATGTTGTCAACTATTGTGATAATTACATTTACACGTGATATGAAACAGTGTGATATATCAAAAATAATTAATTCTGTTAGCACAGATTCAGGCCACATCAGATTGTACTGTTGCCTGTATACTACCTTAATTCAATAAATAAAGATTGTACTGATTCAATGACACTTGATTTTTAATGTTTCATGTAATTGATTTTTAAAATTTTTAGAATGCTTTCAAATCATTTAAATAGATATTGTTATGTTCATATATTTTTCTAAATACTAATGGCCATACTAATCTTTACATGTCCCAACATTGCTAAATGTTTACCTTGCTGTGTAATCTCTTGTACACGTTACTAGTGAATCATGTTATACAACACTGAGTGCAGTATTGTGAAGTGAATTAAATATATCCATAATGAAATCAAGGCATTCATAAAGAATTTTAATTTCTTACTCCAAACGAACAGTGCATGTTACATGCAGAAAAAATGATAGTTGATTATTTGATTTAAGAGTTGGAGTTGTAATAAAAACGTAGTTTTTGTTAATGTTGTTAACATTTAAAAATATTTTTTAATATTTTCTAAATTTATACCATCATATAGACCTATTCCTTCTTATTAAATTTTACCGAATTTTGAGATGAGTGCAAATGATAACTGTAGCCCCAAGACAGGTTGCATGGTATAATAGATTGTGTTTATTCCAAAAACAGCATTAGGCTGCCAAGTTTTGATAATGTGCCCTGTTGATTTCATAGCCATTGAGATCCGATTTCCCTGTTTTCTTTTGATGAATTATTTTAGTTTTAGCGAACATCAAATCTTCAATCTTAGTGCACATGCCTGCATATGTCAAAAAGAAGCTGGTACATGATTATCCACTTGAACGCTTTAATATCTAAAACTAAGATGTAATGACGCTCCCAATTTGATAATCACGTCCCCGCTGGTAGCTACTTATTCGTCCCGTTTAGCTCTGAGTGCAAATCAGGTGTGATCCATGGTGTAAAAGATGGCAATGTGACCGATCTCCCATTCATGAATTGACTTTCATGCCATGGCATCGGTGAACAAAAGTGAAGAGGTCTGGCAACTCGCCAGACTGAGTACAATAAGAGAACAGAACCTGAAAAGTAGTGACCCTGGCAAGTCAGTCACGTGCTACTTGCTATTAGCTTTCTCAGTTAACTATTCTTTATACTTCTACTGCTCAACCTATTACACGGCCTCCTTTAACTATTCCACTCATATAATTTGAGCCAATTTGTGCACGATACGATACACACCAACAGAGTCGAATTACACAACAAATTTTGCAAAAAAAAAAAAAAAAAAATTTTACCGCGTTCACAAGTAATAATGATTAAATCTGATGTTTACACAAATATCTGACATAACTTATAAGTGCACACCACAAATTAATAACATTCCTTTTCTTCTGACAAATACACATTGCATCAATCTACACATCCATTTAATATCGATCATCTACAAATTCTTTTCTGATTGGGATCTCGCATTGAGTTTCTGGCCAATAGAGATAAAAGGCAATGAAAATTACTACTTTCAAAAAGAATAGTTCCCATGTTCAATGCTGAATCAAGGCTGGGAACATTCTTATGAGCGAAACAACAAGATATATTTTTAATGTGAAGAGCTTTCTCCTGTATAATTTCAACACTTGAATTCCCCTGTGTTTTTTGGGTTTTTCTGTTGTATGTTTTGTTTTTAAGAAATCTGTCACCTCGATGGTATATTATCAATACTCAAGTTCACAAACATAAAGACAAAGTAGAAAACAGAGTGCACTATATTCTGACACAACTCAATTTTCATTTTACAAACAGCAGCTGGCTTTCAACAACAAGCAAATTGCTATGGTGTGAATCACATAAGCAAACCAACATGCTTAGTACATAAACAAACAACCAATTTTTGTAATGAACGCAAAGTAGGTAAAAAGAAAAATATCTAGACATTAAAACATGCACTTTAAAAATATTGTAGTGTCACTAATAACTCACTTCAAGCCCAATGATTAAAATACAATTGTGCATTGAAGCAATTGATGCAAACCAAAGGTCCATTAACACTGCGGCACATTTAACAATATACAAGTCATTTTCACAATGATCTATTTTTCACAATTGGATCTTGCAGAATCCATGGTTAGGCTTGTGCAACATCTTTAACTTGCAGACTTCATTTATTTTCAAGTGACTGTGATCATCAATTATGAGTAAAGATTCAAACCAGCAGAAGACAATTCCTTAAAGTTGGATACTTCCTCAGTGTGAATACTTTTACAATATTTCACTACAATTTATTTAGACCTGCCAGCATCTTTGCTTATAGGTACAATGAAGACGTTCTTCAGGTAATGTCCACAGATTATTATCACATACACAACATAATTTCAATTAAGATATTACATTTGGACAAGATAAAATTTGTCAAATAACAAAATAAAAACTTTTAGTTCTCAATGGTTACTTGCTGTGTGTTGTTGTTGTTGTTGTTGTTGTTGTTGTAGTTGGGTTTATTTTTTTTTCTTGATATATATGTTGGATAACTCATTATATTTGTACTAAATTCAACAATATTATCAATCTCAATTTATACTGTAAATTCTACTTCTGCAATTTAAAAAAAACACCACTCACTTTTGGACTTGATAATGCAATTCAGATTGATATTACCATTGCAGGACAAAATAATCCCTTTCATAAACTTCACCCAAACGAACAATGTTTAGGAATGTATCATAACAATTTAAAAGATTTGTGCTGTTCTGCAGATTAAGAACTTCGATCTTGATCCACTTTATAAATTAAGTTAAAAAGAGATGTTTTCCAAATACACAATTAATTCTAATTTTCAAGGATTTTGTAAAATTACACATTTTCAATTTACTACTAAAAGTTATTATTCACTGACATTGGTTGAAATCATTCTTACATATAGTTACTTTCAGAATACTTATTTATGGTAACTTAAACACAAATACCCAACCTTGTAACATTCACACATATTTACTTTTCTCATTCAATACAGTAAATGCAGCATAAGTTCAATAAATTTCCTGAATCAATAGATTCTTTATTTCACATCTTAAAGAGCTCCCCAACAGTTTCACACACAACATAAACTGTCTCTGATGAACTGTTATTGTACTTTATTTCTATTTTACTAGCCCCTCGTTTTTAATACAGAAACAGACATAGCTCATGTAAGGTCAATCCACAGCATCTGGTTCAAAATAACCTGATTCTTTTTAAAAATAATCTTTTATAAGCTTTAATTAAGCATAGCTGAGAACAAATTCATTTCTTGAGAGCGTAGGCTTCCGCGGCCGGAGTCAGTATTTACTAGGCTGTCCGGGTGACGCCGCGTCCATGGCGAAGGTGGCGACGTTTCGGTCGCCATTCTGCGACCTTCCTCAGGGCGTATTGCGCGGAGATGTGCTGCGCACGAGTTTAGTACCACGGGTAGAGGAGAAATTAAGTCCCATTTAAACTCGTGCGCAGCACATCTCCGCGCAATACGCCCTGAGGAAGGTCGCAGAATGGCGACCGAAACGTCGGCACCTTCGCCATGGACGCGGCGTCACCCGGACAGCCTAGTAAATAAATTCATTTCTTTCTTCTCTATGGAATTAATATTTTTCCTTAATGCAAGAACTTTTTGTCTTCTTAGTTCCACATAAGAATCATGGAAACAAGATATAAATAGTTCGGAAAAAATTCACAATTTCTTCAATTCATATAGTGAACTTGATCACATCTACTTCTTGCAATGAAACACCCATATTCACAATTACGTACAGAGTTCACCAATAGGTATCAATATAACAAGTAAAATCTGGGTAATCTGTGCAGGCTCTGCCTTTAGGCTGTTTTACTTAATTTTGTCAGCATGCAATTACATACAAACAACACCAAATGGTGAATTTTAAAAAAGAACAGCTTCATGAAAATGCTCCTGAAATTCAAGAACAGCTTCTTGAAAACATACACACCTCTCCAATACTACTTGAATTCCACTGATTGAAATCCTCACATTCTCTTTAACAAAATAGTTCATTTATGGTTCTTGGTGATTAAGTCATGTTTTACATAAGTCAAATTTATTATCATGAAGAACCATACTTGCTGATCTTGATGATCAATTGATGAATCGCTAAGTTTTATTTAATGAATTATTATAAATATACTAAGACGTCAGCATTCTCTCATTTTCTAAATGTTTCTTCACTACTGCCTAAGACCTTCAGTATCAAGAGGCTAAGCATTAATAGTTATAATATACATGCCAAATTAAATCATGCAATTTCTCTATTAACCCAACTGAAATTTTACAAGTTCTGTGAATATTATTCACAGAAACAAAAATAATTTTCAAAAAGCTTGTATTTATTTGCATCATGCACATCTTCCTTGCTACAAGTTGTTAAAAAAGTTCAATGTAAGGATTACTTTTATGCTTTCTTCAGGGTGAAATTAGTTATTTACACTTCCATTATTGTCTTCACGACTTCATTTTCCCAGATAGTTACTCTTTTCGTTCAGTATTCTTCCCCTCTAAATAACATTAATGATAAAAATATCTAAATCATACACAAAATATTCACTGCACAGTTTTAGTTTTCTTTCATCCCTTACAACTTTGTATGCTAAATCTGGCATCTTGCAGTACATCTATTTCATAAATATCTAATCTTGAAGAAGCCAAAAAAGCATTAAAAAGTTTTCTAAATGCAAATATGAAGAACGGAATTGGAAATGTTGGTACCTTTCAGTCCTCCTTGTTGCTGAACTAACTGCACTGAATATCCCTGCATTTGGTTTCCTCCTGTCACTCGAAGAGTTACTCCTATTAGTTGGAAAATCCAAACAAAAAATTAGAATACAATTGTTAAGACACACCCTTAGTAATAGAAAAATTAAGACTGATACTACATGAGGGTGTATTACTAAAGATGCCACTATTAGTTGCACTGCTAACAGAGTATCATTAATTCTCACATCATTTTCAAAGGTAATTAAGGACAGACAGAACAAGAACAGGTTCAACAAAAGGAACGTCATTCTCACTCTCAATTACATTCACAGAATTACAAAATGCACACATATACTGAAGACATGATCCTTTGATTTTAGCCCAGTAAGTATATATTAAAACTTGCTCTAACGTGTTTAGTAAAACTTGCTCCATGCAGAACGTGTAGGTTGCAGAAATCAGTCTAATGTGAATTTAAATCGCAATCCTGGCAAAAACAAAATTCTGTAGTATTGCATTGCATAATGCAGAATCTTCTTGAATAGGGGGAAGAAAAAAAAATACAGGACTCATACCTGGATACTTTGCTTTGAGCAAGTTACTGTGTGTGTATGTCCCATATACAACATGTATTTGCAAGAAATTTGTTAATCACAATAGTTTTAATTCAATGTAAAATTATTTATATCCATAAGTATTTCATGCAATCTAGTTATCATTCCTGAGAAATTTGTTATTTGGAGCAATTATATGATAATGGTCAAGAAGTAATATTATTTATTACAAGAGGTCAAAGAGACTAAATACAAGATCATCATGATTGAATCCACACATACTTGATAGAAACAGAGCATTATTTATGTGGATGTCCTACATTCAAAAAAGAATGAACATGTAATCTAACGTATATTTCTGAATACAACTCTATATTAAGCATTATATACTATTGTTTATTTGATCTACTCCACCAATATTTTTATTACACTTATTTTTCATGTTGATTTGGGGTACATAATCTTGGCATTAGCCTATTTCTGGATTACCTCTTAGCAATCAAGACAGATTCTATACCAAACTCATTGGATTGAACAGATACAAAATTCTTGTCATTTCACTTAACACACACAATGCTTTTCATTTCAGCAATTGTACTATTGTATAATCTTCTATTTTTCTTATTCAATGTTTTTGGATCTTTCAAAGGACATTTCTCAAGTCTTGTTTGCCCTCACAGTATCTGAGCTCCCAAATCCTACCTTTCCCAATTTCTGTCAATGGGTAAAGAGATTACCAAAAAAGACAGATTTCCATATCCAAGTAATGTTTGCAAGATTTGAGAATTGATGATAAGTTCATAACTACATCCTGCCCCATTTTTGTTTCAGATGCTACGGCTTTACTTACATTGCTTCCCTAGCCTCAGTAAATACCTCTGGTGCCTTCAGCCAAAGCAAATGCAACTTTCTTTTTGTAAACTAATTACAACAATTTTGACAAAATATGGGATCATTGGCTCACTATTACTCACTGCACTTCACTAAGGTAAATATTGCAAAACAATAATTAAGTATCTCAAGTATGGGTAACTACTACCTAAACTTCTACCTAAATTAGTATTGACAGTAACAAGCAGAAATCTACATATTTCTTTAAATTGATTTCATCTAATTGAATCAGCAGTCAAGTTTTTATGTGCATCTTCTTGGTTCTCAGATGTCTGCATTCGTGCAGTAACAATCATTCAACAACAATATCCCCCAAAAATAGTAAACACTTCATTTTTAAGATCCAGGCAGCAATCATTCTAAAACGATTACTGAAAGCTTTATTAAAAGACCTATTACAGTAAAACTACAGGACAATTCAATTCATTCTTGAATTGCCATGAGCACGGGGTGGTTATTAAATACTATTTCCCCATTCTCTTATCTCTCTCAAAACATCTCATCTCTCCAAAAAACAATTTTCTGTTTTCTTCTTTTTTGATTCTTCAACTTGCAGAATCTAGACAATCCATTAAATAAACTTTGTTTTCGGCCCAGAAGCTGCAAGCTCTGAGGATGATCGCTACGCGATCGAAATGATCATAAGCTGAATTAAAATATTGATACCTGTCAATTTCTTTATTTATTTATCATTAAATAAACATTAGCTGCTACTTATAACTGTCTCCAACTAAGCCTTAGCTTTTTCATCACCAGAATCCCAAATACACATGTGTCAATTAGAGGAGTTAGGCAAACGATATTTGGCTACTTAAAATTTGACCATACCCACTAACTTTTCTAGAATTTGTGCCATTGGTTCCTTCCTGATTCTATCTAAATTAGTACTGACCTGTGCTCCAAATCTTCTCTTCTCTAAATTCTCATTTAACAAAGGGCTTGCAGAAATTAGAGAAACAAAACTTCATATCCATAATGGAATAAATTAGCAAATAAGTTTTGTTGGTACCCACAGAATCACTAGCTATCAATGTATATTTTTATTGTTAATTATATATTTTTCTGTTGAATTTCAATTAGCGAGAGAACTTTGGTTATTGCTTACCAATAATATTTATCTTCCTTAGTATGTACACCTTTATGCAGCCCAATATTCACAGAAGATTTTTGCTGATGTACTGGATCTGTGAAGCTTTGAACCATAAATAATAGCCTACATAAAACTGTCAAAACTAAACAATGGTTTGAGAGTCATTTAAGCACTTAATTGTGTTAGGTAAATACTGATCCCATGGGTTAATATAATGTAAAAATTGAAACACAAAGGTTTTATATTTTTAAATACACATTAATCACAACCAAAATAATTGGATGGAAGAGTCAATTCCTATATCTTTTAAGTTCATTCTGTTGTTTCTTCCAATACTTTGTTCTAACAGACATTTGATGGTATTTCTTCTGGACCTAAGAACCAATTGATTCTTTAACTCAAATTTCACTATGATCACATTTGACCACAAAAATAAATCAATGTTCACTATTAGTTCAAATTCTTGGGTTCCATAATCCCTGATTACAGGAACGTCACTACAAAAGTTCTGAGATACACAAAAACTAAGAAACGTAATATAATTTTTAAAACTACACTTTCTCAAAATACTCGCCACAACACTTTTTTTTTTTTTTTGTAAACCAATTTTCAAAAGATTTTCCTCTTATTTTCTTTAAGTGCTAAAAGTTCACTTTTGTAGGCATCGACAGATTCTGTATAGGCTTGAGAACTTCTTCACATGCAACTTTTGAATGTAGAGAATAGAAAATAATCATACGGGCCAGGTCAGGACTGTAAGGTGGACGTGTCAGTTTAAGCTCTATTGACTCCAGGAATTGAATTGCGAGGTTGTTGTGTGTGCAGACACATTGTCATGGCGCAGGATGATTCCCCACAGTCCTGTCTTCGGTTGCTATTCTTTAAGCTTGGCGAACACTTCCATGCGACATATTGATGTGTATCATAAGAACAGTAACAGTTGTGGCATGAACACTTGGAGAAGAATGTTGCAACCATTTTCTTTCTGAGCTATGAGGCCACTTAACTTTTGTTGGTGGATGTTCATTGAGAAAAATCCATACTGACGTCTGACGTTTATTTTCAGGATCCAACTCATAAATCCAAGTTTAGTCACAAATAACGATGTCAGAAATGGCTTGAATTCCCTCTTTCAAATCTTTTCAACATTCCCCAACAGATGATTCCCCAACATTCCACAAAGATGAGGTTCTGTGATACTGTCATAGTGTGAGGCAGTCTGTACGTAAATGTCACAAGATTGTTTTCACTCACTGATTTTTCCACAGTGACAAGGTTTTCTTCAGTCACTGCGGTCACCAGATGCTCGCTTACTCTTCGTCTTTCAACGAAGTTCTGCCTCATTCGTGAAACCACCGAAAAATTGTTGCAATGAAAGGAGCAAGTTCCTTGAAGCCACGCTGCAAATGACCAAGGATTTCAGATTCATTTAAACCACTTTTAGCCATAAAGAATCATTGCACAAAAGTGCTTTCTTGTCCGCTCAATTCTGATAAGTGAATGACACATAAACAAAAAGGAAGGTACGCCTCTTAGCAACAGCGATGAGCAGTGCAAGTTCCCACTTGCAAGCATTTCTCAGAAAGAACACTGCGATCAATAATGGGAAGGTAATAATATGCCACCAACGCAGTACATCTCAAAATTTCCGTAGCGACCTCTGTAACATGCCATTGTAGGTTCCTTTCTGATGAAAATCTTCCATGTTCATTGCTAACAGTGCCAAGATTCTCCTGAAGACAACAAAGTACGATGTAGCAGAATTTTCAATATCATATCCGTCTTTTGTACAAAAGCATGAACTGACAAGTTCTTTGAAGTTACTACAAATGCTGATCCATATGCAGTCATCTCAGACCACAAAATTGATTTTACTTATTCTGGAGAGCTAATGTATACGAGTAATGAAATAAAACACTAGTCTCATTCAATCCACTACTTACGCCAAATTGTTTTCAAGAAGAAGCTTGATACGTTTTGCAGGAAGATAAATTTTCTCAAACCGTCACTTGGAAGACTTCGTACATTCTTCTCACAAACTGTAAAAACACCTTTCTTAAACTGCTGATTTTCCAATTTAGTGTTTTTCCTGCTCCTGGTGTCCCTTTCATACAAGAAGCTGGATTATTGAGTTAGTTCCCACCAATTGAGTACCAACAGCTAACACTTTCAGATCACTACACAGCCCTGTAACACTCTGTCGCCCTCTTATTCTAAATAACTTATACTCTTAAAAAGTAGTGGAACCAAAAATAAATAGTAGCTATTTTATTGCAAAAAAAATGTCAATCAAAATTGTGGAACTTTACAAAAACGTAAATAACAAAGGCGAAAATATATTTGGTTGAAAAATTTATACCACTTTAATATATAGTCACACTGAGAAAATTATTTATTGTTGCCATACAAATTTCATCTTAACACCTTGTAGAGATTTACATTTAACTAGCTCTAGTAAACGTGGCATATTTAATACAATTTCTTTACTCTCTTGGACCCAAATTTTCCCAATCCCCTTTAAGCCATCTCTTCAGCTCTTCTTTCAAGGATAACTGTTT